ACATATCAACTGAAGGAATCTAAATGGTTCTCAGAGTGTCTTAAAGTGTCTAGGTCCAGGACAACTCACAGTGGCTAACTAGCTGCCCCAGCTTGCCAATGACAACTTACTGCAGGAAAACATGGTAAACTCGCCATGGGGACAACTCTCCATGGGAGCTGGCTGGGCGAGTGAATGGGTGGCCAGAGCTCACAAGGTGCAGTGAGAGCATGGGCTGCATAGGCAGCTGGAGGGTGAGCTGGCTGGGTGAGCAAGTGGATGGGTGGGCAGAGTGCATGGCTAGATGATGGACTGGGCAGAGCTGAACAAGTGGGTGAGCAGAACAAGCGGAGTGTGGCGAGATGATGGACCGTGCCACCAGCAGCAGTAGCTGTCATCACCGCCCCCAGCCAGCCAGTGCTTCGCACAAGTTGACACACGCTGCAGCAGGTTAGTGCCCCTCTCCCTGCCCGGCACATCTGATGTGACCATGGTGATGCCAATGCCACTCATCCCCCTCACTGCCTGTCCCACCATCCATGGCCTGTTTTTTTTTCCTTTTATGGTGTTTGTTTTATTCCAGGCTTAATTAAATGGTGGTCGCTTTATGTCATTTAGTTGACTAAACCTCTAAACTAGTCTTCCCCATATCTGACATCTTCAAAAACTGTTGGAGAAAATCTTCACTCATTTCTTGCCACCCCAAAAAACAAGCTAGTGAGAGCCTCTTTTCCTTGATTCAGAACTCATTGAATCATAGGGCAGGAAGGGACCTTGGAGATCTAGTCCAACTCCTACCCAAGGGAGGAGAACTTACTGCATCCCTGACAAAAGGATGCCCAATTTTTTTTTATAGTTTTTATTATTTTTTTAAAATTACAATCTTTGGAGCCTAGCAAACAACATGTTGTCTGGGTTCACATATTTAACATTAACTTCTTCAATATAAATCTATTCAATACTGCACAATCCAGTATTTTTCCTTGATCTTCCTTTCTTCCCCATATTTTTCCCTTTCCCCCTCATTAAACAATTACAATTCTTAGTACTATTGATGTGTACAAAATTATAGACATCTTCATCATATTTTACTAATATTATAGAAATAACATCAATTCACAAGTCAATATCCTGTTTTTGTGCTCTTATTAAAGTTTGATTTCCCATCAATATTTAAAGTATCTTTGTCAATTATGATTTTCTCAATATTAATTACATTTATATAGCTAAACATTTTATTCATACCAATCCTCTTATTTTCAAATTTCCCATATCAAAAGAAGAAAAAAGATGCTTTTTTAATTCTAAATCATATCTTCCATGATCGACAAGGCACCCCCTCCTTCATCACCTCTTCAGGGCGACTTTAGGCCCTTTTCAGGGGCCCCAGCCACAACGCAAAACCGGAAGTCTCCATGGTCTCTTCTATATGTAGCCCAGAGAGGGGGTAGCATTGGGCTCTGGCATCACCATAGTCACATCAGATATGCTGGGCAGAAGGAGGGGCGCTCTTAGCGCAGTCCCACTGTGACCCACACCAGTTTGTGCCGAGCACTGGCTGATCGGCCAGGGCGGCAGCTGCTGTTGCTACTGCTGCTAGTACACTCCATCCTCTTGCCACTCTGCCCATCTGCTTGGCCAGCTCCTGTGGTGAGTTGTCCCTGAGGTGAGGTAAATGTGTCACATTTCCTGGGGTAAGTTGGCGGCAGTGAGCTTCCAACAGCTAGTTGGTCGTGGCTGGTTGGCCATGGTGAATTGTCCCATTCTGGACCTAAGATCCTCCATATGTCATGCAAAAGAAAGACAGCTGATATGTCAATGCTGATAGGAAATATCTCTTGTTGCTGCCAACTCATTTAAATGTTGGATTTCTTTAGCTTCTATTTATGTAACAGAATTAAGCCAGTGATTTCAATTCTCAGTCAGTTATTTAGATCCAAACAACCCAAGTTAAAACTAATGCCCTCACAGTTTTTATGGTTTGCACAACATGCTTACCCCCAATAGCCCAGTTAGAGCCTTTCCAGTTCTATAATTCAATAATCTTGTACTTCGGACTTCTAATTTCTTTAAAAATAGCTTCCATTAATATACTAACATATTTTATTTCTGAATTTGATCCTGAGTATATAAAATCCACATTGCTATTTGTTGGAACTTTTTAAATTATATTTTATTAATTTTTTACAATAACATTCTTTAGTGCTTAGTAAACAGGTTCATATGTTTAAAAACAATAATTTCTATAATTCCATAATCAATATGTTAATTAGTGATATATTTCTTTGATTTTCTCTTCATCCAATGGTATTCTTCATTTATCAACATTTAGCAAATATAATTCTTAAAATTCAATACATATAAAGTTAAATATAAACCTTTTTCTTGTATTTATACAAATAACAGTAACATCAACACATAGCATCTTTTTTATCAGTTTATATTTCAGTTGTATTTCAGTAATCATCTTATTAAATCACTATGTCTTGTTTTCAAAATTCTTATTTAAACTTAATTTCCCCTCTGTATTCAAACCATTCTTATCAGTCATAGTTTTCTCAAAGTTAGTAACCTTTAAATATCCAAAATGTTCATTCATATACCCAATATTTTCATATTTTACATTTCACAATAAAAATTACTATACTACTTGTATGTCTTATTTCTTTTACTATGAGACCCCTTTATATCCATAATGTATCTATTCTTTTAACAATATTCAAACAAGTATTTAATCATATAGTACTCCCTCAGTTAGATCGCATCAAATATCTCAAATCTGATTCTAGCCTTCTTCTTTTGCCAAGTAGTTTTCCAAATTAATGTATTCAACTTGCCCAGGGGTTTTTGCTTTATTTTTGTAACTGCTGTTGGGAATAGAAAAAACAAGTTAGGTAAGACATGTATTTTTTTGTCTCCCAAACTTTAATAATTATCCTGGTTGCTCTATAGTCCATTTTATTAGATTTTCTTTTCAATCTTCAAGTTGATTTTGAGGTCATGAAATATAGAATATCTTTTCCATTTCCCTTGTTATGGTAAAACCTTTCAAATTTTCTTTTGTTTGTATTAGTTTGTAGTTCTCTTCATCTGTAGTTTCCCTTTTTGGGTTGCCGACCTTTGATTTATATTCTGTTATCTGGTCTGTTTTTTTCATTTTTTTTCATCATTTTCTGAGAACTTTTTACTTGTAAGTGTAAGTTGGAATGTGCTCATTTATGCCAGCAAAATTGTTTTTAATCTCATCATGATTTGAAATTATTGTCATTTGAATCTGTCACAGCATTCCATACACCTCCTCCTGGGAAGTATTTGCCTTGTCTTGAATTATTGCTCCTGCAGAGCTCTAATGTTCCAGGCTGGGGCCTTCAAAAAAGGATATTATATGTAGTTTACTGCCACTTTTTAATAGGTGTGCAGTATCCATTTTATCTTCCCCTTCCAAATGTTCTTTCACCAGTACCATAGTCTCTGTGTTTTGCCTTTTAAATCAGCCAATCTTAAAGTCCAAACTACCAAATTTTATATAGTTTTTAACTTTTTATATATTTTTTTTTTATATAATCCAATGTGTTTCCAATTATCAAAGCACCACTGAAGGCAGTATTTTATAATGTTTCTTCTGTTCAGGGGTTTTACAATTTATCTTCCAGCCAAGGTTGCAGTCCAAAATATTTGACTATCCAGTAAAATTCCCTCCTAGATTAGCCAATAGTTAAAGTTTTTCTTTTTCTGCAGACACAGAAAAGATCACAGCTCAGTAAATATTTATAATCCCAGAAGGTCAGCTGTTTTTGAAGCAAGTATAGTTCTCAATTTATAATATATGGTCCAGTATGTTTACTTTCTTTGTTCTCAGTTGTTTCCTATTTGGCTGAAAGTTATTAAAGTTCAAGGGAACAGATTATTCTTTGTTTCTGGGCATCTTGCAAATTTCTGAGTTAGTGTTGTTGTTGTTCTATACTCTAATTCTCCACTAGATGTCAGTATTTATTTATTTTCCAACTTTTCATACAAATTGTTTTTTTATAATTTCATCAAAACTCTTTTAGATATAAAATCTTAATGATTATTCTTAATTTTCAGATTTATCCAGACCAGTGGTTCTCAACCTTTTTAACGCCGCAATCCCCAACTGGTCGTAAGTCAAGGACTACTCAACTGGTGCAGCACCGTTTGCAGAATGGGACTTTTGGCGGTCTTTCAAAAGCCAATAGAATAAAAGGAAGCTAAGGAAAAGGGGAAAAAATGGCGGACTGCGTTGTTTGGTGAACCCCCGTGAAATGGTCGTTCGACCCCAAATGGGGTCCCGACCCACAGGTTGAGAACCACTGATCCAGACTATAACATTATTAATTTCATTTCAATGTATTCCCCCGTGAAGTTAATTCACCACTGCATCTATGGAAGGGTGGGAGTACAATCCCCTCCCTTCTCACTTTCGGAGGATCTTGCTTTGGGGATTTTTTCCAGGGAATCAATTACAAAATAGAAGAGAGAAGATCGATGTTCTCACCCTGTTCCAAGCACGTTGTTCTGGTTTGTGTTCTTGGACTTCGGCTGCTGGTAGCTTGGGCTAGACACTGATGTGCAGCTAGCCTTTCTCCTGTCGGGTTGGAGGGCTTCCCCTGGATCAAATGGATCGACCACTGTCATTCTGTGATCATTGGGGTGCCCCTCCTTTGTCGCCTCTCTGGGGCAACTTTAGACCCATTTTAGGGTCCCCTGGCAGAGCAAAACCAGCTATGGGGTGCAGAGCCCCGCAATCCCTTGGCCATGTCACCACAGGGCAGAACCAGAAGCCCTGTTGGAACTTTTTAAATGAGTAGAAATTACACTTATGGTAGTAATAGCACTTAGACTTATATACCGCTTCACAGTGCTTTACAGCTCTCTCTAAGCAGTTTACAGAGTCAGCATATTGTCTCCAACAATCTGGGTCTTCATTTTATAGATCTTGGAAGGATGGAAGGATTGAGCTGTGAGAATCGAACTGCCAAACTGCTGGCATCCGGCAGTCAGCAGAAGTAGCCTGCAGTACTGCATTCTAACCACTGCACCACCACGTAGTGCAGAGAGTGGGCATTTTATTTTCAGAAAATACTGAGTAATAAGCAGTTTGCTTAAACAGACTGATTGTTCCTATAAACTGAACACGATTTGAGGTAGGAAATTGAATCCAGTCCCAACCCACCTTTAGGCTTAATATCAACAGTGGATATGACGTTATAACTGAATACTGATTTCCTCTTCCAGAATCCCTGTTGTTAACAGTCCTTGTCTATGCCTCCTTGAGATAAAATATTGGTAGTTTCTGTTGCTACCAACTATTTTCTCAAAGGCATTTCACAACCCCCCTCCCCATCTCTGCATGAGAGTATTCTTACTACTTGTATTGCTTTACTGACAGTAAAAAAGTAAATGTAAAAAAAATGAACCAATTTCTGTGATGCAATTTTTTTACTCTAAATTTTATAGGCACATAACTAAGGGCTTTAGCCCTCTGTCTCTTTTTGGTAATTAATTCTGCAAGATATAAAATCAAACTTTATTTTTTTAAAAAAACTCGAAGATATACAAAATCCAATTTACAAATTTATTTGTGACAGACCACCAAGTTACAGTATGATTGGACTGAGGGCAGGCTAAAGCTCACAAGAATTCAAAGAGCAGCTATTGAGGACAGTCCTGGCAAAAGAATGTCCATCAGAGTCAGCAGCGGGTAAGTGACTGAACAGCAAAGAACAAAGATTTTCTTAGTTATCTAAATCAGTGGTTCTTAACCTTTTTGAACAAATCGCCCCCTTGAGCCAATGAGGAAGTTGTCATCGCCCCTCTCCCCCAACATAACCTCTCAATCACAAGATAGGAAATAATTTTTCAATTTATGCAAACACTTTTTTTGTTTCCTTTAAAATTGTCATCAGGACATATCGATGCAAATAATTTATTTCCAGTCTTTTTCCCATATCTCCCATATTCTGGCCAATGGCGCGCCACTGTGTGGGTAGAGGCTGCTGCGCAATGCGCATAAAGATAAGCGATATGTATTCACATATGTAAGGCGCTCTGTACTGAAGCTAGCTGGAGGAACATTTGAAAACACAATTCAATCCACTAATAGCGATCATCTGATGTTTTTGTATGACAGATATACAGCTATTCACTGTACGAAAAAATCTCAAAAGCGTCCCCAAAACTTCTCGCTCCATCGCCCCCATAACGCCCTCTTTTCGTTCCTTCGCCCCCATGTCGCCCCCTTGAAAAACGAAATCGCCCCTAGAGGGCAATATCGCCCAGGTTAAGAACCACTGATCTAAATGAAATACTTTGAAGAGCTTTCCATACACGAGAGCTATGACAATAGTTATGTGGGAGGATCAAGAGGGAAAACGAGGTTATATTGGTCTACTTCTCCCACTCTAACCTCCTCCCTACTAAAAGGCAGGATGCTCATTTTTTTCAGTCAGAACCATTTCATTTGAACTATGAAAATCCGAAGGATCACTAGAAGGCAGCAGAGAGAAAAATACAACATTTTGCTATCTTTGCCCTCGCAACTTGTTTAATCGTCCTACCATAGGTAAGCCTGTTGCACTTTTTTTTTTCTAACAGTAGTGCTCCCATCTGCCAAAATGCATATTCCAGAATCTAGACTTGATTATCTTCCACCTTCAGGAAAGTTTACAGCCAAAATTCCCTTCCACGTTGGACTCGCAGGGAAAGAGCCCGAGAGCTTTCCTCCACCCGGAAGTGGATGCAAGCCGGCAGTCGCCAATGACGTCATTAACGCGCGCCCAAACCCTCTTCTAACAACAAGGTTTCTCGAGTGGCGGGTTCCCTGGTTACGAAGCAGGGATGAGTGATTCGGAGCGCGGCCCAGCCCCAGGTGAGGAGGATGGTGGGGAGCCCGAGGAAGAAGGGGAAGAGGAGGAAGAAGAGGTCGCTGCTGGGGATGTGGATGCCGAGACTGCGCCGGGTGGGCGGAAGGTTCGTGGTGGGCGGAAAGCCCGGGGTAGGCCGCGCCTCACCGAGTCTGACCGGGTACGACGACGCCTCGAATCCCGCAAGAAATACGACGAGCGGCGGGTCTACCTGGGCGAGTCTCACGGCTCGTGGGTGGACCTGAGGCAGCGCAGTGGCTGGAGTGACGCCAAGCTGGCGGCTTATTTACTGGAACTGGAACGAGAACAGCGGGCCGGGCGCCGCGGGTGAGAGTCGGCAGAAGGGTCTGAGGGAGGAGATGGCTAGCTAGACGGTTAAGGCAAATGGAGTATTCAGCCGCATGCGCCCCGAAAGCCTCGTGTCATACAAGATGCGAGGCGTGAGAAGCGTGCGCCTTCCCTCCGAGGGCAAGTGCAAAGCAGGCAAAGGGCCAGAAATGAAGGGTTCTCCCAAAAACATGAATTGGGAGAGGTACGAGGCCTGTTTTCTGCGCATGGAGGCTGATAGCGCGGTTTTGCCAGCAAAACTGCCTGACGTTTCGGAGATTAGCGTAGGACTATTTCCAGTTTACCTTAATTTCCTGTGTACCTTCGAATTCGGCTGCTCCAGAAGATGTCGCTCTCTAGATTTCAAGGCATTTGATAAAAGGAGTATGAGATGGTTAATTCTGAAAATGGGCATCTTATGTCATCTTGGGTTTAGAAACGAGTAGTGAGAAACAGGTGGATACCTGGCAAACTATAACCATTCTGTGTCCCCCCCCATTATCATCAGGAAGGGCACTTATATGGCTGTTTTAGAATGAAGTACTATAATTTGTCACATTTGAATATTGTATCCATCCTCACTATATTTGGGCAGCCAAGAATTATTTATCAAATTTTTAAAAACATTTCCTAAAAATGATCAGTCGTATCCTTAGTTTAGTTTGTAATGCACACATGTATTCTCTGGAAATGTAACATACAGGTCTGAAAAATGTATGAAATTTAGAGACTAATCGATATTACTATGCATGGTGACCTGGAAAAATACTAGATTAATTAATAGTGGATAACTGTTCTTCATAGATTCCTTGTTTGCTCATTGGCAGTATTTGCTCTAACTGAGAAACAGAGAGCTTGTTTGAATTCTGTTTTCTGTTGCTTGTTGCTCTGATAGAGACTATTAATATTAAAGAAGAGTGTGCTGATTAGGATATAAACTAGGTGTCTTCAGAAGCATAATTTCCTTATTTCTTACCATTACTTTCCTCTCTGTGAATGACAGTCTTGTTGAAATACTATCTTTGAAGAAGTTTTTCAAAGGCTTTTAGTACCTCCTTTGGCTAAAGCTTTCCTTTGACAAACAGGTCCTAGTATTCACTTCTGGAGATCTAGGTGCATACCATGATATTCTACCGTCTTTACTTGCAGAAAACCATGGGAGCAGATGCCTTATGAGCGACAACGAAACAAAAGTAAGTGTAATCTATGCATTGATATATTAGGCTTTATTCATACTCTAAAACAGTGGTTCTCAATCTTTCTAATGCCGTGACCCCATAATACAGTTCCCCATGTTGTGGTGACCCCCAGGAGCATGGCCAAGTGGGTGTGGCCACCAAGTGGGCGTGGCCACCAAATTGTGGTGACCCCCAACCATAAAATTATTTTAGTTTCTATTTCATAACTGTAATTTTGCTACTGTTCTGAATGGCAATGTAAATAATTATTTGGATGTGATTTGAAGTTTGTGTAATGAATTGAAATGAAGTAAGGTTTAACATTGTTTCTTTTTTTTAACTAAGTTAGTTATTATTGGAAGAAGATATAAATGATGATTAAAAGAGGGATGAAAGAGATTAAGAACTTGAACATATCTGGAAGAGATAATTGAAGTGATAATCTGTTGAAGTAAAACAATATTTGATTATGGAAATTGTAAATTGATAGTCTTAAAACAGGTTTAGTAGTAACAGAAACTTAAACTAGAAATGGAATACCGTATTTTCCGGCATATAAGACGACCCCCAACTTTTGAGAAGATTTTCAGGGTTTAGAATCCTAAAAATTTTCAGGTTTAGAATCCTGAAAATCTTCTCAAAAGTTGAGGGTCGTCTTATAGGCCGGAAAATACGATGTTTCCTAGTTTGATGTTACCTAGTTTGGTAATGAAACATCTGCAAGAAAACACAGAGATCACCAAATCACAAACCAGAAGTCATAGGCAATACATTGCAGAAGTTACCAAAACTGTATCAAAGATCTGTATCTCCAGATCACCAGTTGATAGCATCAGTTGAGGCAAATTCTAATCCACACATCAAGAGGGCATCCAGGTGAAGAAGATTCATTCAGGAGGAAAGGAAAGCAGACTGACACCATTTGACTGCACAATCAGCTCAGTAGTTGACTGGCTCCCTCCCAACCCCTTACTGATCTCAGACACTGATTCTGGGCCAAACACAAGGCAAGCAAAATGCCATCAACATACTGATGCTACCTCCTTCCAAAGTCCAAGCTAATTTCTTTGAGCATTTGTTTGTACTTGGAAAAAAGCAGAGTAGAGGAATATTTTTTAAGTGGATCTGAGTCAGTGGGAGACAATGGAAGGTTGCAGGACCAATTCTGGGCATCTGCAGCTCTGTATCTGGTGGACATGGCCACCCCCAAATGACACAGGTTGTAATTAAAAAAAAAACCATTTCTCTGGATGTTTCTAGGAAAACTACAAAGGTGACTGGAATTATTTTTAAAATAGTCAAAAGAGTTTCAACCTAAGCCAAGATTTACTGATGAAAAAGTTGCCAAGTGTAAACCATGCACCACAAGCTTCTTTTGGAAGAGAACAAAGTCAAAAAAAAAGAAAGCCCTTTAAAACAAGCCTTCAGACCAGAAAGGATTTTATCACTATGCTTAAAAAACAAAAATCCATTAGTAATACTATATCACTGCTGCTTGCAAAGGGCTCCCCTTTATGCCGAACCAGGCACCTGATGAACTCTATTAGCTGAATAAACCATAACAGCAGCTTCCACAGTAAATCATGGTTTAACAACCACAAAACCAAGATAAGATTTGTTGGTTTGCTTTGGATGCTGGGTGAATCAAATCATAATACCCCAGGCTCTTTAGCCACTGCAGGGGAACACTTCTTCTCACTGAAAGTATGGGATGGTAATTTTTTGCTCCTCCCCCTTTTATTATAATTATTGATACAATATATTATTTCAATGCAGATTTCAGTGAAGTAATGTTTAACAATATGATTAAAATTGTTAACATTTTTAAAAAAGTGTTGAAAATAAAACATTCTATCAGTGTAATTGCCATTTAGGACATCAATATTACAAGCATAAGATTATTTAACTTTTTATGCAAAGTTGAGTAGAAGATATTTCTCCGTTTTCATTCATTTAGCCACCATAATGTTCCCCAAAGGAAAACTCCATTTTTCCCTGATCCAGACCATGAAGAGGAAGTTTACACACAGTTGATTGGTTACCTCTGAAAATTCATATATCCATGCTATAATCACAGCAAGGACATCATGCTAATCAATTTCATTCGCTGCAGGGAAAGACATTTTGAAGATGAGATCCGAACATTAGTGACGGGTAAAAAGGATCAAGGGCTTTTATTTATAAGCCCCAAGTGGAGTGGGCCTAGGACTCAGTCAACAACGTACACAGAAAGAGCCACTATGCAATTAAATCAGAAAAGCAGATGCCAGATTCTGGAAACTTACCCTAAATAAAATTAGAAAGATAATATTTCCTGCTGTGCAAATCACCAAAAGGGAAGCACGGAAAAGAAGGGAATGGCCAGCCTCGCAGCCCCGTCGCTGATCCCAGACCTCCCGCTCGGCTGAATATATTGAGTGCGGCTTTTTTGGTTCAGGGAATGCGAACGTACTCGAGCTGGTGGATGGGGGGGGGAGAAAAAAACCGGCAAAGAAAGTGGGGGCGCGCAAGGCTTTTTAGGAAAGGCGGTCCCTGCTTTCCCCCCCCCTCACTGCAGGCGCAATCAATGCCCAACCCGAGGCCCATTTTCAGATGGTGGCTTGGCTTGGGTGAACGCGATATGGAGGAACCTAAGTTACCTTCCGAGGTGAGGGAAAATAATAGGTGAAGTTTAAACAGCTTTCTCTTTGATCCTGGCGTCAGGAGAAGCGGCTTTTGAGTGATGCCGGAGCTTTAAGGTTTTAAGCTGGGCTAATCAGGGAAGCGCTCTAGTATGCAAACGAGGCAGGTCTTGGGTTTAAAGGGGCAGAGAAACTTTAAATGCGTTTTCTTGCAGTGAGAGGTAGAATCTGCCGGGGAGAATATGGGCGTCGCTGGATTTGCTCATTTCTGAAAATATCCCTGCACCCCTTTTCGCCTCCCGGAATTGTGTGGCTCCCTGACCAGATCTGCGCGAGAGGCCACTCAGAAATGGGAGGGGGGGTTCGGGGAGTGTAACAAAAGGTGCAGATGTCTTTCCCCCGTTTATTTCTGGCTGCAGCCTGCCTTTCTTCTGAATGGGGTCAGGCTGGATACACCACGAAAGAGATCGGCTTGAAAACCCAGTCTGTCACCTTTATCATTATCTCCCCTCTCCCCCCCCACACACATACTTTTTATTGTTTGTTGCTGCTGTTTAAACAAACACACACACACACATACACACCATTGCTGTGGGTTCAATGCCGCCAGAGAGAGAGGGAGTTTTGATTCTGCAGGCTTATCGCGAAGGTATTTGAACAAGCAGACTAAAAGAAGGCGTGTAAGTCGTGGCTTAACGTTGCTGCAACAAGACTTGGTGTGTGTTTGGGTGGACGGTATGCATGCTCGCTGTCCTCTTTATTGCGATTTCTTTTAAGCTCGTGGCACCCTTTTGCTAACCCCTTTCCCCCAGAGAGGAAACTTACCGCTTTTGGTTGTTTCTCTCTCGCTTTCCACCACGTGCTCTGAAACTGAAACTTCCTAACTTTATATAGAAAAAAGCTGCGCATGTGCAAAGAGGAGGGAGGCAGGAACGGCACTTTTGAAAGCCAATAAGAGGGAGTAGACAGCTAGGGAAAAGGGAAAAAAATGGCGGACAGTGTGGTTTGGCGACCCCCGTGAAATGGTCGATCGACCCCAAATGGGGTCGCGACCCATAGGTTGAGAATCGCTGCTCTAAAAATGCAGACAATCCATTGCTGTCAGTTTTTAAATTAAAAAAAAAAACATTAAAAAGCAGAATGCCATAAAGTATAAAAAAATCAAGACAAAAGTCTGGAATGGCTTTATAGTGATACAGAAATTGGTAGCAGTTCTTTGCAAAGTAAATCTCAGTGAATTTGAATGAATATATAATTATATATAATATATATAACATATAACTCGCATGAGCAGCCCGCCTTTCGTGTGGTTCAAGTGGTGCATGCCCGCTAGCCTGCTGCTCATGTGAGTTGAGCTGCGCACATGAGCCAGCCAGCTGCTTGCATGGCCCAGTTCCAAATACACCATGGCCGGTAGTGGGCCGCAGCTCCAGGGGTTGGGGACCCCTGCATTAAAGGTTATTTCATTTTGTTATTTTTCAACATGTAATGACAATCCTTCAGTAATCAAAAATCACATGCCTGTTCATGTTGAAATTTCAATTTCTTGAAATACTATATTAGAATTGGCATTATGAGTAATGACTGTTAAAAATGAAATGGAGGCCTAAGAAATTAATAACCTTTTATCATCCTTTTTAAAAAGTACTTTTTTTAGTTTGTGGTAGTCCCTAATATAGAGCTGAAATTACTGAGCTTAAAAGCTTTTTGTTTACTTCAAAGTATAAATTCTCAGTTATAGCAGGAATATTCTTACCTTTTAATAAAAATCATTTAATATACTATATATATGATTGTAGTCCTAAAAAATCCTGGAATAAATCCTGTTGAACTAAATTGTCATAATCACTAGAACCAGCATTTTTTTTTTATTCATTTACAAAGGTTTTGGTTTCTGTTGTAAGACATTTCCAAATCTTGTGAGTTAACTAGATACGGGAGAGAGAGAAATACTGCTCTCCATATAATTTTCAGGGCTGAATATAACCAAATAGGACAGTTTATTGCATAAGCTAAAGCAATTGTTTGTAAGACTTACTGATGTCCAAAATTGGACAGAATGGATAAAGGACTGGATTTTCTAAAAGGAGAAGAAATACATGGTCAAGCAACCTAAATATCAGCACTGTTCTTACAAAAGTTTCAGCCTGCAAAGTATTTCTCTCTCATAAAGCATAATGTACAAACTGGTCTCAGGAAGTGGTCAAATACTGTAAATATTCAGCTTAGTGACCAGATATATCTAGTTAGTATCATGTGATGCTAAGGCATTCTATGACTGTATTATTCCAAAGTGCTGATGTTGCAAAGGAAAGTGTGGAATAAAACTTCATTTATGTATTCATTCTGATGAAATGCAAAATGCTATTCTTTATTGTCATTAATAAAGAAAATTGTGAACAATGATAATACACTAAGGCATACCATATTTATTTTAACAGCTTTGCTGTCCTAAAATGGGTATATTTTCTTTTTCTTTTACATTCTATTTGACTGAAATTCATTTGGTTAATTGTTTTCCTAAGTGTAGAAATAATTAACATAAAATTACATAATATATAAAGACAGATGGATTTTGTCATTAGCTTTCAGAGACAGCATGCCATCTGTTCCAAGTTTCTTTGCTTTATTTTGTTTTGTTTGCTTCCCATTCTTATCGTGTCCCAAGGAAGAAGGCGAAACGTGAACTGCCTGAAGAACACAGTCATCTGGTATGAAGATCACAAGAATCGCTGCCCTTATGAGCCTCATCTCTCTGAGCTGGATCCCAACTTTGGGATGTACACCACAGCTGTCTGGCAATGTGAAGCAGGGCACCGCTATTTCCAGGACTTGCACTCACCACTTAAATCACTCAATGATTCTGAAAATGAATGTGACAACGGTAAGTGTACAGTGTCCAGGATGTTAAAACTCCAACCTGACTTTTTTTTTTTTTTTTTGCAGTTAACATGTAGCAAATATTTCTATGTAGCTTTTGCAACTCATATAAGCTAGCTGCTTTCTTTAAGGCAGCTGAGCTTGGAAATCAGTGAGACAAGCTGGGATAACTTTGGAAATACATGAACGCAGTTTAAGTTAGAGCAGTGAAGTTGGAGATGGACTAATACCCATTAATGAAAAGAAATTCATTTCTGAAATAAATAATTATCACATCACGCATGGCCCAGAATTCCTAAAGTTTATTAGTGTATGTATGGTTTTCAGTTATTTTCCTTCCAGATTGAATATTGTAAGGTAAAATGTTATCTTTAAATGTTTATATTAAAATGTCTATGTAATATTGCACCATTTTAACCAGTGTTTTTTCATAATTTTCCCTAGGCCTGTTCTGATAGTTTGTGACAAATAATATGTTCTTTTTAAAAAGATTTAAATGATTTTTAAAATGCCACATTAGAACATTTTCTAGAACATTAGAACATTTCCTAGTGCCAACCAGAAAATAGTTTATTTTCCAGACTTGATATTTACAGTCATTGATTGTAGCACACTATTTTTCCAATAAGTATTCTTGGCTAGTTGACTTGTCTGTCTGATTTCAAATACTAAAGAAATTAGACTGCAGAATACCATTGTCAAGAGTGATTTGCTTTTCACCTATTTTCTTCTCTGTTCTCAACTTGACAACAATGGGGGGGGGGTTGAATCGTCTGGGGTGGGAATGGAATGCCAAGAATCTGTCTGCAGATTGTGAAGCCCTGCTCCCCCCTTCAAGGATACGTGCAGATGTTTGAACAATCCAGACCAGACATGTCAAACTCAAGGCCCACATGCCAGGTCTTTGAATGATCCAGACAGTTCCCATAACAAACTATGCAAGCAACTAACCCAGCCACCAAGGAGGTGTCACTGGCAGGGGCTCAGCCAAAGTCCCAGTTGATCCAACCTGGGAAGCTGGTACTGCAGGGAGGAACTATGATCCTAGTGGACCTCTATCAAGCTGAAGCTGCCCCTCAGCGCAAGAGCACTCTTATTGTCACTGAAGAGGAACTCCTGTTACTGCTGTCCCAGGGGTTTTCATCCATGGCATACCAGAAGGGCGAGGGATCGATCAGAAGATTCCAGAAACTGAAAGTTCCAGTCCGCAGTCCATATCCCCTCACTTGAGCAGCTGAAGGAGAAGTTTGACAGATTGGAGGTAAAAGAGATGGTGTGAGCGCTGTGGGGGGAATGCCAAGGGCTACCCATCTGTCCCCCCCCCTTGCTGGAGTCCCAGCCCAATTGCGGGAGCTCGTGCTGCCTCACCTATTCCCCAGCCAGCTGTGATGTCAAGCCCTGTATCCCAAGCAAGCCCGATGTTGTGGCCTTGGGCTGCCAATCCAGGAGCCCAGCCAAGAGAAATCCGGAGGGTGGTTCAGCCACATCCCCAGGACCAACAAGCAGCTCAGCAGCAAGAGCAGGCAGCCCCGCCACGATTTGAGCTGCCTCCCATCAAGCCCACCTTTGATGGGGACCCCGAGAAGCTATCCTTCTTCCTGAATCAACTGTGGCCTCATCTAGTTTCTCTACGCTTATGCCTATCTGGATGATGCCCAGATGGTGAATGCCATGGCAGTCAATTTGGAGGGGGAAGCGGCCAACTGGGTGACCAACCTCCATGATGAAGGGGCTCCTGAGCTGCAGAATGGTAACCTATTCGTGGAACAATTGAGAGGTCATTTTGAAGTCGAATCCCAAGCCCTGTTGGCCGAGAAAAAAATCCATTGTCTGAAGCAAAAAGGCCGACCTGCTAAGGAATATGTTTGTGAATTCAGGCGAGTTGCTGGTCAGCTAGGGCAGTAGCTGGGATGATCATTGATCAACTACTTCAAGCAAGGGCTAGACCACGGGTCGGCAATCCGCAGCTCCGGAGCGGCATGTGGCTCTTTGAGCCTTCTTCTCCGCCATTTGCAGAGAGAGAGAGAGAGAGAGGGGCACTTGCACTTCTCTCTCTCTCTCTCTCTCTCTCTCTCTCTCTCTCTCTCTCTCTCTCTCTCTCTCTCTCTCTTTGTGTGTGTGTGTGTGTGTGTGTGTGTAAAAAAGAGAGTGGCCTCACGCTGTTCTCGGACAAGCTGACAAGCTTATTGGGCAGGGCTCCTGCCTTTGCTGCGTTGAAGCAGGAAGCAGCATTTCTCTCTCTCTCTCTCTCTCTCTCTCTCTCTCTCTCTCTCTCTCTCACACACACACACACACACACACACACTGAGTGGAGGAAGAGGACTGGCAGACCAAGGGCAGGAGAGAGCCCAATAAGACTGTGTGTCAGCTTGTCTGAGAACAGCGTGAAGCCAGCTTGCCAGGTGAGCAGAAGATTGGAGAGAGGGAGATGGGGGGGGAGAGAGAGAGAACTCATGCACAGCAGCCTCTATTTCTTTTTAATTAAACTCTTCAGTCAAGCTCCCCCCCGCACACACATGCGCACGAGTTTTGCAGCTCCCAGTGTTTTCTCTGGGAAACGTGTCCAAGTGGCTCTGGGCTAGACTGTGACCTACTCCAAACCTGCATCATTGGGGGCTTTCCTAACCAATTGTTACAGCATGATGGTGATGCTGGACATCGAATTGGATTGCCCCAGAAAGCCAGGCACAGCTGAACCCAAGTCACTGCGCACCCAGGAGAAGTGCCTTTTTGGCCGACGTTCCCATGCCACCACAACCACCAGCGCCACCCAAGCACCAATTAGAGCTCCAGTCAAATGCTACTGATGCGGCCAAATGGGCCACCATGCTGTAGAGTGCCCAGTCCCCAGTCCTGAAGCACACCGGCTGCCACTGCTAAGCCACAAAAAGCCCCCAGGGGAGAAAGGGATAAGACAAACTGGGCATGACAGGACTCAGCTGTTGGACAACCCTCTCCTGCCGAGCCCGAGGCAAGAGCCCAGCCAGAGCAATTACAGATGCCGGTGCCCTATGGCAGTGATGAGGAAGGCGAAGAAGATCTGATGGTAGTCAACCCATCCCACCTTTCGCCATCCCCACCAAGATAATAGTACCCAAAACCGGGGCCCAAATGATCTTAAATGTATTAATAGACTCAGGTTGCACCAGGTGCCTAATTAATCTACTCACAGTGCTCAAGCTGGGGATTCGGGCAGACCTATTACCCCTAGCCATGAGATTTGAACAAGCTGACGGGTTCCAAATCTGCATCTGCCGCGTACCTGACAGAACCAGTGTGGTTGGAAATGGGCTGGCACTGGGAAATCATTTGTTTTGTGGTGGTCCCAAAAATGACTGAGGCTGTAATTTTGGGTCTGGCCTGGTTTGACAAGTGGCACCCGAGCATCTGGTGGGAGAATGGAGTGAGGAATTTAAGATTGGGGGTAGGTCCGACTTCCAGTTTGCCATCGTGGCACCTGCAGACGCAGGAAGGCGAGCGCTATCTTCGGCGTCCGAATTTGTTCCTCTGGGGGACCCTGGAAAGGGTCAAAAGTCGCCCTGTAGGGGCGATAGGCAAGGAGGGGACCCCTGCTTGATAGCGGGAGGGTGACAGCCCTTCCGTTTGATCCGGGAAAGCCCTCCAAACCGGCAAGGGAAAGACCAGCCATAGCAATATGGCCTGTCACTAAACTGCTGACAACCGAAGTCAAAATCACCACCAAGCACCTTTAAAGCAACCTAGATGAAACTGGGTAAGATCTGGTCCTCTCTTTAAGACGTTTAAGTATTTTTTCCTGTAAAAGCTGCCCAAAATATTTTTCCCCCTGTGAGGAGAGAGGGAAGGGAATTTCTATCTCACCCTCTAAGAAAGAGCAACTATAAGAAAATTTTTAATTTAATTGGATGTATACAGTGGGGCAAAAAAGTATTTAGTCAGCCACCAATTGTGCAAGTTCTCCCACTTAAAAAGATGAGAGAGGCCTGTAATTGTCATCATAGGTAGACCTCAACTATGAGAGACAAAATGAGAAAACAAATCCAGACAATCACATTGTCTGATTTGGAAAGAATTTATTTGCAAATTATGGTGGAAAATAAGTATGTGGTCAATATCAAAAGTTCATCTCAATATTTTGTTATATATCCTTTGTTGGCAATGACAGGTCAAACGTTTTCTGTAAGTCTTCACGAGGTTGGCACACATTGTTGCTGGTATGTTGGCCCATTCCTCCATGCAGATCTCCTCTAGAGCAGAGATGTTTTGGGGCTGTCGCTGGGCAACACAGACTTTCAACTCCCTCCAAAGGTTTTCTATGGGGTTGAGATCTGGCGACTGGCTAGGCCACTCCAGGACTTTGAAATGCTTCTTACGAAGCCACTCCTTTGTTGCCCGGGCGGTGTGTTTGGGATCATTGTCATGCTGAAAGACCCAGCCACGTTTCATCTTCAGTGCCCTTGCTGATGGAAGGAGGTTTGCACTCAAAATCTCACAATACATGACCCCATTCATTCTTTCCTGTACACGGATCAGTCGTCCTGGTCCCTTTGCAGAGAAACAGCCCCAAAGCATGATGTTGCCACCCCCATGCTTCACAGTAGGTATGGCGTTCTTTGGATACAACTCAGCATTCTCTCTCCTCCAAACACGACGAGTTGTGTTTCTACCAAACAGTTCTACTTTGGTTTCATCTGACCATATGACATTCTCCCAATCCTCTTCTGGATCATCCAAATGCTCTCTAGCAAACTTCAGACAGGCCCGGACATGTACTGGCTTAACCAGGGAGACACGTCTGGCACTGCAGGATCTGAGTCCCTGGCGGCGTAGTGTGTTACTGATGGTTGCCTTTGTTAGGTTGGTCCCAGCTCTCTGCAGTTCATTCACTAGGTCCCCCCGTGTGGTTCTGGGATTTTTGCTCGCCGTTCTTGTGATCATGTTGACCCCACGTGGTGAGATCTTGTGTGGAGCCCCAGATCGAGGGAGATTATCAGTGGTCTTGTATGTCTTCCATTTTCTAATTAT